CATAAGCGTTTAGAATTGGTTTCAAAATGATATTGTTTTCATTAAAAAGTAAAAATGAAATTGTTTTGAGAATCATTATGGGACCGATTCTGAAATTATGTTTGTTTAGTTTTTTATGAGATTATTTTTAGTATAATAAACAGTAAAATCATGTTTATTAATTAATATATTATAATATTATTAATAAGTACTAAAAAATGAAAAGAGAAAAGTGAAAATAACTTTCTAACTGTTTTCTAAATCATTCACAAAAACTATTATCACTATTTTTGTTTTTAAAATATTTGCTAAACAAACATCGTTTTGTTTTTATTTTCATTTTTTATTTCTCGAAATACATGAAAATCGTTTTTAAAAACGGTTCTAAACACGCACATTATTTTTTGTTTTTGTTTTTATTTTTGAAATTTTTATTAAACAAACGTAATTTATAAACTGTTTTTATTTTTGTACTTCAAAAAATACGTAGAAATGATTCTAAACGCACCCTCGTTTTCTTCACTTCTCATAGGAAACTCTGTCTCTACCCTTAAATATAACTACCGATCCTGTAATACAGTGACATTTGCATACTCGTCCACTGTCGCAATCAGGTTTTCCATTTTCATGATCCCCTGTTGCGTAAGCAATGCACCTAGGAAAAGGACATTAGGAGTATGTACTATTTTAGGCTAATTGTTTACTAGATAAGGTTTTAAGGATATGCCAACCTCATCGCTACCAGTCTTATATACTTTTTATTTTATTTTTCAACCATCAAATAAGGCTTGAATAATTTCAACCGTTTAAATTGTTGCAACTATTGTCACATGGTAGCTAAGAGGAAAAAAAATAACTTTTCTTTTTCAACGGTCTACATTATTTTTTTCATCTACGGCTAAAATTGAAAATTAAGGTTTTTTTGGCACAATCCTCAAACTTGTCGTGATTTAACAAATTGTTTCATAAACTTTTAATTTTGACAAGTTACTCTCCAAACTTATAAACTTGTTGCAATGTGTCTCATTTAACTAAATTTACTCAAATTATTTATTAGATTTAAGGGATTAAAAGTTGAGATATTAAAATATTTGTATTACATTTAAATTAGAATATTGAAATTTTTAGCTGAACATGCTTTTTTGACACTAATTTAATACAATTATTATCAAAATGGGGCACATTACAACAACTTTACAAGTTGAGGAGACAACTTGTCAATATTAAAAATTTAGAGAATATTTTGCTAAATCACGACAAGTTTAGGAGGGCAAATGTGCTAAAAATCCAGAAAATTATGTACAACCAAAAAAAATGTGAGATGTACCATAAAAATATCATTGCCAAGTAGTCTAATTGCACTTGAATTGTTCCACTCTTCAGATAGTGAGGAGGTACCATGGACATGGTGCTCAAAAGTCTTAGCAACATGACCACTTGACAATTGAACCTCCTATTAGTGATGGGCCAGTGCAGTTAGACACGCTGAAATACTTATCCTATTGAATATTTGATATTGATTTTTTACTAATACATTTCACTAGTTATGATTCATAACTGTAATCCACTGTTAAGTGTTCTGATAGATTTTTACAACCTCGTTTGGTCATTATTTATTTATCTATTTAGGAAACATTAGAGTCATTATATATGTAAGCTCTCAATAACTATAATGGCAATGTTCTTCAACTAATCTTTTGAACAGTACAGATCATCAATCATTTGGTAAAAATTTAAAAATAAAATAAATGATAAATTGCAGGGTCGCTTTATGTAACTTCAATAGCATCTAAATTCTCCAACTACAACTGAATTATTGCATCCCCTTTTAAAAGCACTCAAACCCACAAATTCTCTGTGACCACCATACCTTTCATATAAATAGTTACTTTTTCTTAATGGTGGAACATGGTTCAGACTTTAGAAAAGTATGGATTGAGTTAAGATGTATTGTTGACATTCCATTTGGTTAGTTTGACAAGAACTGGCAAAACGGGGGACAAAAACCAGATTTACCTTTTTTTTTTTTTTTAAAGATAAAATTTTTAAAATCCGAACACACAAAATTTACAGACAGATCAACCACAATGACCGTTTACAATAGAGGAAAGAAACAAAAGCATTTGGGCCCTTATTTTCCTTGAAACCAAACACAGCAAAACTGTGGAATATGATCAGTATTTTCTGTTTTCTGTATATGGAAGAATGAGATATTGTGGTAGATTCTTATAATATCTCTGAATCTGATAACCATAGCTCAAAGAAAGTGAGAAACTTTAGTGCAACTTGTTCCACAACGCCTTTGAAAAGGACAATTTAGGGAATGTCCCATCACAGGCCGAAGAGAGTTTTGACACAAAGCAAGCCAGCTCATGAATAAGCAGTAGCAAGTGATTAGTAAGCAAGCAAAATGGTCTAATTTCTTCAAGTAATGGCTAAGTTATTCTATAGAGTAGCATTAAGAGCAAGTTTATTCTTCAATCAGGATGTAAAGATAATGTTTAGTAGATAACAGCCACGAAATTGATGTAACGACAGAAGTTGGTCGTGCTTGCCTTTTTCAGTATATATATATATATATATATATATGTATGTGTGTGTCTGTCACATGCGTTTTATATATTTCCAACTCAGCAAACGAATCATATCAACATCTCTCTCTCTCTCTATTGATTTTTTTTTTGCGGTTGGTAGGTACAATTGCTTATACACAACTAGGTAAAAAGTGACTAAAGAAAATAAAGACTACCGATTTTATTTAGAGAGAGAGAGAGAGAGAGAGACGGTAGATGCATTTGACAATGAGTTTTATGGGTACGATCTTCTTGTAAGTTTTTGGAGTTCCATGGACAAAAAGATTTCCTTTTTATTTTTAAGTAACTTTTTCCACAATCAGCAGGTGGAAAAAAATATTCCACCAATATAAATCTTTTCTTGGTGATAAAATGTCCAAAACTGCCAAAGTAATCGCTTGTGATATCGAGGCTTAATCGTCCCACACTCCATATTAAAACAAAATTTGCTTTTCCAACCAAAAAATATTAATAAACAATTAAATGTAAAAACAAAACTTCAAGTTGCTTCTCCCAACAAACCGGATTTCGATATATATTTTTCAGAACACACATTCGATTCCCTAACCTTAATAAAGCAATCAGGCTAATCGACCAATACTTTAATGTTCATTATGTTCTGTAACCCCAAATGATATAAAAAAAAAAAAAAGACTTTGTTAGTGAAAATTAAATAATATGATGTCAATGTTACTGGTAGGAGTAGTTTATTCATTACCCTCTCACGTCAAGTTTTATGAATTAAACTCTGGTTATCGAAATAACTAGGGAAAAAAATTCCTGCTTTCCAAGTTGTAATTAGGTTAATAGTCAATTCAATCAAAATTGATTAGTTGCAAAAGTTGAAAGAGTTATTTCATAATCATTTTCAATTTGAGGTTTCCTGTCGCTGTCCTCGCCATTAGTATTTCTTTTCTAGAATAAGCAGTTATCATTTTTAGGTCGATACTAATAATAACACCTCATAAATTCTCACTTATATGCTAGTTTTTGTTTTTTTTTTCCTTTCTATAATAATGCCTAGTAAGCTCCACTACTCACCATGTAATTAGTATATATATCAAGACCAAACAATGATACCTATTAAATTATTTTAGTGGAAAACTAAGTTTAGGGCAGTCCGTGATAATGAAAGGTTAAGTTGGCTATTCACATAAACTTAAGGCTATTTATGGGTTGGGTTGGTGCGGGGTGAGACTTTTTTTTCCCGTCCTAAAGAGTGCGGGTTGTACATATTTGGCCCTAACGATGTTAGAAAAATTTCACAACCCAACGATGTTCGGGTTGGGTTGGGGCGGTACGGGGTGGGTTGGGTGGTCGGTTTCAACATTCAAAAAATCAAAGACTTAAAGTTCAATATAATATTCAAACTTCATCATTAAATAGAAATAGCAACCATCCTTATCAGTCCGGCTAGAGAACACCGGAGAAAGTGGGCAAGACGGCGGCCGAAAGGACTGAGCAATGAGGAGAGAGTTATGAGAGGGTTCAAGGGAGAGGAAGAAGAGGAAAAACTGAAAAGAAAGAGGCAAAAAGAGGGGGTTCACGGGAGAGGAGACCGAGAATGAGATTGTGAACCCTAATATTAGCGAGCCTAAGGTAGAACTTGGGCAGTTCGGCTTGGGCCGAAAGCTTGGGGGTATGTTGTGCGGGTTGGGTTGGGGATTGCGGGTTATTATGGGTCTAACCCGCAATCCGCCCCAAACATTTCAGGCCAGAGATATAATAGGCTGAAAATTTAAAAATAATGTTGCAAGTTGCTTTTTTCAGCTTGGGTTGAGGCGAGGTAAATTGGATTTGCGGGTTCTTTGGCTTTATGAACAGCCCTACATAAACTTGATAAATTATCAGTGTTATTTGGTTAGTGTATTGATTAGACTTTACGTCAAAATGTGTTTTCGATACAGTGAAAAGTTGCAACAAAAAAAATAAGTTATCACATTCGATTTAGGGGGAAAAGGGGAACACTCGTGAATTAAAACCCCTTGAAAAGGGAAAAGCCCGCGAACTTTTCCACCGAAAATTAACGACTCACGGAATATAAATAAATAAATAAAATTATTAAAAATAAAAAGGTATGGCTTTTTACGGTGCCAGCGGAGAAAGCAGCAAATTTTAGTACTTTTTCCGCACAAATACATTACTAACTTTTAAGTACTGATAATGTCATCAAAGAATCGAACTCTACAAATAAATACCAAAAAAAAAAAAACTCTCTTAAACAAATTCCTCTAAAAAATTATGAAGGAAAAAAAATGGAAAAGCAGTGAAAATTGTAAGAAAATCTAAACGGCTCGTGAATTCGGCTAACTACCACGAACGTCTCTCCTATTTAGCATTTGGATTTTTTATAAAAAATACTAAAAATTTGTAAAATCCAGCGATTACCCAAATGTGAATCGGTCAAACCTGTCCCTCCCAAAAGATAAAAACATCCGTATCCGTGATTCTTACCTGTCTCTAATCCCTTCATCTCTCTTCTCTCTGTATTTACAGAACAAAAAAATAAAAACAAAAATAAACTTGTATATTATTATTGATTGGAATTATTGTTTGGTTTGGACATTCCTCAATCCTCCTTCACTTTACAAGAAATGCATTCTTAGCTTTCACGAGATTGTCTTGTGGATAAATAGTGCTTCAACTGACTCCACTTTTTAACTATTCTTTGCCTTTTTCCTCTTCAACAAACTTCACTCAAACCAAATGTCCTGATTTCTCAGTCTTCAGATCATATGTTTTTTTCCAAGTCAAATTCCAATCTGGGTTATCAGTAAAAATGAAGAATTCTGCTTTTTATTTGTTTTTAGTTATGTTTATGGCGTTTGAGCTATCTGGGTATGTTGTTATGGCTAAGGAGTGTACAAACACTCCCACTCAGCTCTCATCGCACACTCTCAGATACGAGATTCTGACGTCCAAGAACGAGACTTGGAAGAAGGAGATGTTCTCTCACTACCATTTGACCCCAACAGACGACTCCGCGTGGTGGAATTTGCTTCCGAGGAAGCTTTTGAGAGAAGAAGACGAGTTCGATTGGACCATGATGTACCGGAAGATGAAGACTTCTGGAATCGGTTCCGATGGGTCCGGAGATGTTCTGAAGGAGGTGTCTTTACATGATGTGAGGTTGGATCCGGATTCGCCACATGGGCGTGCTCAGCAGACCAATTTGGAGTATCTGTTGATGTTGGATGAGGATAACTTAGTTTGGAGTTTTAGAAAAACTGCTGGTTTGCCAACGCCTGGTAAACCTTACAAGGGTTGGGAGGACCCAAGTATTGAGCTTCGTGGTCATTTTGTAGGTTGGTTTTTGTTTACTTTTCCCTAATTACATAAATACTAATTATGTTTATTTGTTTATGTTAATAATGTCTTTTGTAATAATATGTATGTTCATGTTGTTGTGTTCAAACTTGATATGAACTACTGTTCTTTTTAGTAGCTTTTTCTTTGTTCCCCCTAATACAAAAGAACACGTGCTAATTAATGTTTATTTGTTAATGTTAGTAATGATTTTTTTTGTAAGATATTTGTTCATGTTCTTCTCTTCATACTTGGTATGAATTACTGTTGTTTATAGCAGGTGTGTTTCTCCCCCAAATACACAAGAGCACATGTGCTAAATGGTGTTTATTTGTTTATGTTAATAATGTCTTGTGTGAGATATACGTTAATGTTTTTCTTCTTAGTATGAAATATTGTTATTTTTAGTTGCTTTTTCTTTCCCCCTAATACACATGAAAACATGTATTAAATGATGATTACTTGTATATGTAAAATAGTACTTTTGTAAGATATGTGTTGATGTTTATCTGCTCATACAATTTTTTTTTTTTTCAATGAAATTATGTGGTTTCTAGAAGCTGTTCTGTTTCTGTGAACTCTTGGATTATCTTCAACTTCAGATGAAGAGTTTAACTTTTATACTCTCAATTTTTGTAACAAAAAAAGAGCTCGGTTTTGTTATCTTGCAGGCCATTACTTGAGTGCATCAGCACAAATGTGGGCTAGCACTCACAACAAAAGCTTAAAGGAGAAAATGACTTCTGTGGTGTCCTATCTATCCGCTTGTCAGGAAAAAATAGGCACAGGATATCTTTCTGCTTTTCCATCCGAGCAATTCGATCGTTTTGAGGCTATCAAACCTGTCTGGGCTCCGTACTACACCATTCACAAGGTAGAGATCTTGAGTCTAACTGTTTCAGTGGATGCAACAACAAATCCATGTGGCCTAAAAAGTGTTTATACATTACAACTTGTTTACTTTGACAGATCCTATCAGGTTTGTTGGATCAATATACATTTGCTGGTAACAATCAGGCTTTCAAAATCATGACATCGATGGTCGACTACTTTTACAACCGAGTTCAGAATGTAATTACCAAATACACAGTGGAGAGACATTATCTATCACTCAACGAAGAAACTGGCGGAATGAATGATGTGCTTTATAAGTTATACAGAATAACGGTACGTAATTCAGATGATTCTTTTTTTGGCTTTGCAATACTACACTAGTGTCATTGTAAGCTTTGAATTTTTAGCTTACATTTTTTTTTTTTTGTTGATTACTATGATCAGGCAAATCCAAAGCATTTGTTGTTGGCTCACCTGTTTGACAAACCATGCTTTCTAGGCTTGCTTGCAGTCCAGGTAACCATGCTTTCTTTTTTTTTTTTTTTTTTTTTGGCTAGCTTTGCTTTGCCCTTTGATTTTCCTAAGATTTTTCTTTTCCTTTTTCTTTTTCCGTAGTAAATATGTAGACAAAAGTGTAACCAATATGTATAGTCAACACTCAACAGGAACAGAAGAATCGGTTCAGATTTTTTGTGGTTTTAATGAAGCCATTCTGTATTACCAAAATCTTTTCTCATGTTTGTAGGCTGATGATATAGCTGGTTTTCATGCCAATACACATATTCCAATTGTTATTGGTTCTCAAATGCGATACGAAGTCACTGGTGATCCACTTTATAAGGTAGTTCCTTTTGTTTCATTCGTAGAGCTTATCAAGTTTAATAACCGAAGTGTTGATTTATCTTTCATATGATTTAATTTGTGATAAAAAAATCCCAATGATTTTGTTTTGAGATCTCACATTTTGTTCGAATTGCCAGGAAATAGGGACGTACTTCATGGACATTGTGAACTCATCTCACAGCTACGCAACAGGAGGAACATCAGCCAGCGAATTCTGGTAACTATTGTTAGGCCCTTGTATCATTCTTTTGTCAGGTTATAACAAACTTTAATTACCATATTAATTCCTTTTTTTTTCTCATTCGCGGCTTTGCTTTAACTTTTTCTTTTGTGAGCAGGTCAGAGCCAAAGAGATTGGCAACCAGATTGGGCACTGAGAATGAAGAATCTTGTACAACTTACAACATGCTCAAGGTATCTATTTCTGTGCTTTCATTTCTTTTTTTTTCCTTTGGTGATCACCAACTTATCTACATTTTTTTAGTGGCAAGTTGTAAAATGATCAAAAACATCATTGGATTATGACAATTGAGCATTTTTTTAACTATGGACTTAACATCATATTTACTTTTAATCATGAGTGTTAATTTAACTGACGTACATTTTTACAATTTTGCAGGTCTCTCGCCATCTATTTAGGTGGACGAAAGAAGTGGTTTACGCAGATTTCTACGAGCGCGCTCTAACGAATGGTGTGCTGAGCATCCAAAGAGGAAGAGAACCTGGAATTATGATCTACATGCTTCCACTTGGCCGAGGAGTTTCCAAGGCCAAAAGCTATCATGGATGGGGAACACCGTTTGAGTCTTTTTGGTGCTGTTATGGTACAGGTACGAGATTGTTCTCCTTTTTTATACTTTCATATTTTGGGGAAATTATATTCTCTTTTCATGTGAATCATTTTCTTAAACGTGTTGGTTATGCAAATGAATTCTCCTCCAGTGATTAACAGTTACAAAAATTGATTACTAAACTTTTGATCTTTTTTTGTTTTCCTTCAGGAACTGAATCATTTTCAAAGCTAGGAGATTCTATATATTTTGAGGAAGGAGGAGACAATCCTGGTCTCTATATCATCCAGTACATATCAAGCTCACTCAACTGGGCATTAGGAAAACTTAAGCTGAATCAGAAAGTTGATCCTGTTAACTCAGGGGATCCTTATCTTCGGGTGTCTTTGACGGTTTCACCTGTGGGAACAGGTCAATCATCTACCTTAAACTTGCGGATTCCGAGTTGGACGCATTCCGATGGCGCAAAGGCAAAGTTAAATGGTCAAGATTACGCTCTACAACCATCACCAGGTTGAGATACAAACACTTGAACCTTGAGTTTTGCCTTGCTTTCGAGCAGCGGAAATTTCTACTTATTCATTTCTAAATACAGGTAGTTTTCTATCAATCACTAGAAACTGGAGCCCTGGTGATGTAGTAACCCTTCAGCTGCCCATTAGTCTAAGGCAAGACCCTATTAAAGGTAGCTTTATTTGGATACTGCAAAAAAATTTATAAACTCGCGCATTTCCCTATTGCTAGCATAAGTTTTAACAATCTCATTGATCGGCAAAAAGATGATCTTTGATCTTAATGAAAGATATTGCACTAACCAAGTTTTTATTTTCCCTGAAATAAAACAGATGACAGGCCTGAGTATGCTTCAATTCAGGGAATTCTTTATGGCCCCTATCTGCTTGCAGCTCATACCAGTGGTGACTGGGAAATCAAAACAGGATCAGCTAGCTCTCCTTCAGACTGGATAACTCCAATCCCTTCCTCTTACAACAATGATCTGGTCACTTTCTCCCAACAGCTTGGAAAATCAATATTTGTCTTGACGAATGCAAACCAATCAATCACAATGAAAAAACTTCCCGAATCTGGGACCGATGCAGCAGTGCAAGCCAGTTTCAGGCTCATCTTTGAGGAATCGTCTTCCTCAAAACACTCCACGATGAACGACATCATTGGCCAGACAGTCAAGTTCGAACCGCTTGATTTGCCAGGCATGGTGGTAGTGCATCAAGGAGAAGAGGATCTTACAGTCGCGGATTCCTCCAGTGAGAAGGGCTCTTCATCAGTTTTCCTCCTTGCTTCCGGATTAGACGGAAGTTCAGAAACGGTGTCCTTGGAATCAGAAAGCAACAGAGGTTGCTTTGTGTACAATGCGGACTATCAATCTGGTGGAAGCTTGAAGCTAAGCTGCAATAATGAGCCGTCAGACGCGGCATTCAGTCAGGCAGCAAGCTTTGTAATGAATAAAGGACTGAGTGAGTATCATCCTATAAGCTTTGTGGCCAAAGGGGCATCAAGGAATTTTCTTTTGGCGCCATTGTTGAGCCTCAGGGATGAATCTTATACCGTTTATTTTAACATTCACACTTAGATAAGTTAGGACAGAATACTGGGAAAACCAGTTACAAACATGCAATTAAACAACAAAATTCCTTTCTGGACAGTTGTTACTAGTTGAAGAATAAATTTTCTGAAAAGTGTAGATGATCTTCATATGAAACATTTTTAGCCTCAGTTTATAGAGAGTGATTGAAGATTGAAGCTAGAGAAAGAAGAATTTGGGAACGGATGATAAAAGTATATTTATTAGTCCCTTTGCTGTATGTGTGTGTCCCTTGAGATTCTTGTTTGTGTTCTTCAAAGCCTATGGCTCAGAGAAATGATTAACTGGTGTTAATATGGAAGGCAATTGAGTTTACACAAGTGCGTCTTTATGACCTGAAATAGTGCACACATGTACTTCTCTACAGTTTGACATTGTCATTGTAGGATGTCGCTGTTTATGTTGTTTTGCGTGAAGAAAACACGAAATTGAATATAAGCTGCAACAAGAAAGACCTCAAAAAACGAGAACACGCTAAACGACAATGACCTAAAAACAACAAGAAGAAAATCTCACTAAACTAATAACCGACAGTAGTTTTTTTATTAAAAAAAAAAAAAAAAGACGATTTCTTGTGAAAAGAATAACAATCATCCTAACAAAAGAAACATGAAAAATGAGAGTAACAAAAATAACCGTAAACAAACGACAATATCCTTAAAAACGACAACAACCTAAAAACGATAATATCCTCAGAAAACGACGGCAAAATAAAAACGACAGATAATTTAAACATAAATAAACTTTGCTAGAACTCTTAGAAAACGAAAACGATCTTGTTAAACTATTACAATATACGTCACTTAATGCATGTATTGGGCTTTTTTTTTTCTTTTTTTTTTTTTGTCATTGTCATTGTCATTGTAGGAATAGGATGTTGGGGTTTGATGAAATGGCAATGCGTCGTTTTTCAATAAACCATTGCTAGTGCCACACGTCTCTACATGAAAGTGGGAAATTGTCGGGTAGATTGTTTTCCGTCAAAGAAAACACAAAATCGAGAAAGGAAACGAATACTTTTCTTTTTTTTTTTCAAATTAAAATCGAGAATCGTGAAATTGAGGGCCTGTTCGGCGGTCTTTTTTTTTAGTTAAAAATTTAAAAAAATAACTCGAATTATAATTTTATTTAAATTTATATTCATTTAAGTTTGAATTCGAGTTTGAGATTAAAACTCAAATTTAAGTTTTTCATTCAACTCGAATTCAGAAACTCGAACTCAAATTAATAAACATATTATTTTTTCTATTCTTAAAAATGTTATAACTTTTTCATTTTAATTCTGATTGAGATGATTTTTTTCTATGCGTTGACAACGAAAAGACGAATAAAACCCCACCTATATACCCTATTAAAATTTTCCTTCAGCATTGAGTTTTTTTTAAAATACTATCTAAATACAAATTTAAGTTTTGACTCACTCAAATACAAACTCAAAAAAATTCTTATCTCAAACCATAACTCAAATGTACACAATCAAACACAAACTCAAGTTACAACTTTAACTCAAATTATAACTCAAACTCAACTTAGAATCTATATTCAAATCACGTAACTCAAAAAAGATAAAAAGAACAAGTCCTTGAGTAAGACGTTAAATATTTGGGTGAGACACCAACATGATAAGAGTAGACATATTTAACAAGTGATATTTATAGGAACTATAACTAAATGCTTTCATTCTTATTTCAGAATAAAAATGAATAAATCATTTCTCACTCCCACTCCTAATAAGTAATTATACATGGCACTAGCTTTTACACGTTTCAGCATTGGGCCCCTCTGCTTAAATGCAAAATTTTCCACTCTCCTCATCAAGTCATTGTTGTCACACTAATGCATCACGTGCGGTGTCTTTGCCATATTGTGCAAACCCAATCTGCACCACTCGTTCCTTCGAAATTATTGCAGTATAATTATTCCCTATTTTTCTGCACAGCTGTGTGAATGCAATAATACATTATCATGCTTTTGGATCATCATGAATACATGTGTGGCACTCGTACACTTTTTCGTTTAGTTTGTAGATTATAATTATTTTTGTATATTTTTTATGAGAAAAAATACTGTAGTGAATCATGAATCATGATTTAAATCAGGGTATGAATCTCCCAACCAAACAACTCCTTAATTTTTGTATGCCAAACCTCCGGACAGCAGTACTGTGCCTGTCTACAAATGAAAAAATAATCAGCTCGAGGAACGAATTCAGAATTTTATCACACGGTTCATCGTTAATTATGAATTATAATTATGAATTTTTTATAGTATTTTTTTAATAAATTTTATAGTATTTTTCTCTCATAAAAAATTTAAATTTTAAAATTAAAATCATAATTTTAAATTCATAAACAAAACTATTTCATTTGAAATACTAATAAATGGATTGGTTAAAATTAAAAATAAAAAACATGAGTAAAGCAAGTGTCCCCACTGTTCATATATAGCTCCGTGCTTGATTACCTTTAACATTTCGCTGAAGCTTTCTTTTTTTTTTTGTAATGAAAAATATAAAAATAAACAAAAATTAACTTGAATTAATTGCAATTGCATATGTATAGTCCAAAAAAAAAATGCATATGCTGAGGATGTTACCCTTTAAGCCCTCCTAATTAGCTTGTACTCCTTAGTCCTTCCCTTCTCTTTTTGTCATCTCCCATGTCACGAATACAACTATATTTAATTTCAAAAGGTACACAAAATAAAAGAACTAATAGTTATTAATGCTAAAATACTTTTGCACACGACCAGCAAAAATAAAAATAAAAAAAAATACTTTTGCACACGACCAGCAAAAATAAAAATAAAAAAAATACTTTTGCACACTAATTTGGAAGAAAACAAAGAAGAACGAGATCCTTCGTATAAACTTTTAGACGGAGAAGACAAGTATACTTTGCAAAGCCAAACTATGTCTTTGTAATTAATTAATTAATTAATTGTTCAACGACAAGATTATTGTCCAAGAAAAAGTAAAATGATGATGACAACGACGATAACGACAGCGGCAAATGAGGATAGACTAGACGACAAAATTGACTCTTTGGGCCAACGCCACGCTACTAATGTGCAGTGAAATTTCAATTCCTTTCACTTCACATATTTGAATTTTTAATTTAAATTGAGATGTGATATTTTTTTAAGAACTTTTCACTATAGTAAAAAAAGTTAATGTGACATTTTCTGAGAGCTTTTTACTGTAACCACCTAAAATTAAACGAAACTTTTCAATTCTCCACTTTAAATACTGTAATATTTAGAGGACGTTTAGTTTGAGAATTCAAACTATGTGATTTAAATTATTTCGATTTACATGAATTTTTTGTGAAAAAAAATATTGTAACGAACCATGAATCATGATTCGAATAAAGGAACAAATCCCTCTACCAAACATCCTCTTAGTAATTTTGATTTAAATTATAATTTATAATTTATTATAATATTTTTTTTATAAAAAATATGTGTCAATTAATAATAATTTTAATTTCATAATTTTAATTTATAAATCAAATGTCTCCTAACTTTCATCGAACAGTTTTTTTTTTTTTTCCGAAGAAAAAAATAGAAATTCTCGTCTAAGAGTTGCTTTCAGTTTTCCCTTTGCTAACAAAAAGAGAAAGTTGGCTTTGATCGTAAAAAGTGCAAACATGCTTTTTGGTCACATCACTAGTCATTACAAAAACACTTGCATGTAGCAACGTAACCCTCACTATGAGTTGTTAACAATCTGTTTCATTCCCTCTTCATCAACGTCACTTTTACTGAATCCCACAGAAAGCTCTCAAACTGCCTCTATCGCACCCGATATTCATCAATTTCATGCACACCAATACAAAAACAAAAAACCCTCTATTAACAACTTATTCAACGAGCGTAATTAAGTTTTAAAAAACCCATATAATATTCTTTCTTACACTTACTAAAAATACAAAAGCATATTCACCACATGATTTAATTAGATTCAGAAACCAAAAAAAATTAAAAACTATATTAATTAGCATGCTTTTAGAGGCTTTCCACATAGACAAGCGTTGTAAGCAAACGACGACGCTTCGAGATGATCAAACGGCGAACCGGAGGGGATTCGGCCGCAGAGATGGTTGTGGCTCAAATCCAAGTGTCCGATGTACGAAGCGGAGGATATAGATTTCGGGATCGGACCCGACAATCTGTTGTACGACAAGTCCAGTACTGTAAAGTACGACCTCGTATCGAAAACGTCTGGGATTCTTCCTGTGAGCGCGTTTCTGCTCAAGTTCAAATTCCCTATCGCGGAGTTAACCAAAGTCGCCGGAATATTCCCCGATATGAAATTACCGTCCAGGTTCAAAGTCGCCAAAACCGCCATTTTCCCCAGCGATTCCGGGATTGATCCCGAGAGTCTGTTCAGGGACAGATCCAGATCCGCCAGGCGGTAGATTCTCGAAATCGCGGCCGGAATGGTCCCGCTGATCTGGTTCCGGCTGAGCAGAGCGCGGCTGAGCATCACGAGGCGGTGGAAGTCCCGCGGGAGGCTGCCGGAGATCCGGTTGTTACGGAGGTCGAGGTGCATCAAGCTGGAGAGGTTCGTCAGCGACGTCGGGATTCTGCCGGAGATCAGATTGTCGGCGACGTTGAGGACGGTGAGGCGGTGGAGCCGCCCGATGTCTGCAGGTAACTCGCCGGAGATCCGGTTCCCGATGAGATCGAGGATTCGGAGGAACGGCAGCGACGTTATGCACTTAGGGATCTCGCCGGTGATTCCTTTCCAGTCGGCGATGGTGACGCTCGATAGACGAGGAAGTTTGCAGATGGCGGGTGAGATGTATCCGGTCATGTATCCGGTCCGGTGCGCTTTCTCGAAAATCGGATCCTCGGACTCACCCCGTAGGTTTATGTCGGCGACCCGGTGGGTTTCCTGGTCGCAGCTGATGCCATACCAGTTCTTACAACAGTCTGTGCCGGTCCAAGAGTTGAAGATGCCCAAATAGGGCTCGTGAAGGGCCGCTTTGAAAGCGAGAAGCGCCGCCCGCTCCGACGGCGGGCAGGCATCGACGGCCCAACTTAAACTCGCTACTATCACCGACACCACAACAATATACACGTTACCGACACCCATTTCTAGCTAGTATATATCTGTATGAAGTTTCTTTTTAACGTTTGGTTTAGTAACGAAGAAGGGAGATGAGGTTCTGAATCGTCAGTGCGTTGGGGAGTGTAGTTTTGGGATAAGATCACGAAACTATATATATATATATATATATATAAGTCTGATAACATTTTCAATGGACGATTTTGCCCCTAACGTGGGGTTTTGGATTGAGTACACACACAATAGGGGGGGGTGTGGGTTCAATGCAACAAGTCCCATATGGCCTATGTCATGCTATGGCTTATTAGCTTCCTCGAATTATCCCATTTATCGCCACGCCACAGCTATTCATTGATTGATAAGAATTACAACACATTTATTCATTTTTTATGCTGATGGAGAATTTCAAATAATATATAATTCTGTCCTATCAATATCATATTTACTACTATTCTTTTACCACGAAAAATACGAGAGATTTAAGGAAGAAAATAGCTCTGGAGCTCGTAATACTATTTATATACATGATCCGCTTATATATATATATATAGTCACAACGTTCAAAAATGTTATGGTTTAGGCGTTGACGAAGTGAACTAGCTAGTAAAATTAATTGAATCCAGTTGTACATATTCATATTTACGCTGCTAAATTAATTCTCTATCTTTAATTATTTCATCATTGTACTGGAGCATGATCATGACTGCCCCAAAAGGCAACATGTGTTTAAAGCTGGTGGTATTTTTGGGGTCCTACCGGTTATCTTCCAGAGAAAAACGTTGGCCAAAGTTATCTCTTATAGTCTCGTTTATTTTATCGATTTGAGTTTAAAATTTAAGTTTTATTATAATAAAAAGTTTTTAAAAATAATCTCATTTAATTTTTTTTACTATAATAAAAAATTCTCATATAAAATCACATTTTAACTCAAATTAAAAATTTAAATTAATAAATTAAACGGGTTCTATATATGCACGTGTTATTTTTTCCTGAAAATATTTTGAGGATGTAATTAAGTTGGATTGAATTTTTTATTATAATTATATATAACGGAAAGCACCAGAGAGAGGAGAAAGGAGGTGGATATTACTCGAGGTGAAGGGAATGATTAATGCTAAACAGCTAATAATTGAAGATGTACAGCTGAGCTATGGGGGTCGTTGAGAGGAAAGTTTTAATTTGGCTTTTGGGTGGAAAGTACGATGAGAAGAGGCTATATATATATATATATATATATATATATATATGTATATGCTCGCGCTAGAGAGAGAGAGAGAGAGAGAATGTTAGGTTGGTTTATAAATTTTTGAGAGGATCTTGAATCATGATGTCAAAGTTATGGGTTCTGGGACTTCGAGATTCTCCATTAATCCATATCAAAAAGGTTTTTATTATGATAGGAGTAAGTGAGGAAAAGACATAAGTTATAAGAAATCAAAAGTGAAATCTCTAAAAAGTAGCATCCTTAAAGCAGGTTATTAAATTATATACATAATAATGCAATAATGCAAACTCCATTTAGTACATATTTTTATAATTTTAGATTTATTTGAATAGTACCTTAAAAAACATTTATTGGAGTATTGCTCTAAATTAAGAATTAAATGAGTTCGTCTTTCTGCAGTTGCATTATTAAGAAATGCTAAATATATTTGACCATAAAAAAAAAAAAAATAGAATGGGGTCCAACAATCACCCTATTATACTGATAATAAGTCTTTTTTTGTGAGGGATAACTCATAATAAGTCATTTTATAATTTTTGATTTATTTGAATAGTACCTTAAAAAACATTTATTGGAGTATTGCTCTAAATTAAGAGTTAAATGAGTTCGTCTTTCTGCAGTTGCATTATTAAGAAATGCCAAATATATTTGACCATTAACTACTGAACTAGATCAGACCATGGCTTTTTGTGGTAAATATATATACACACTGTGTATCATGCGTGTGAATGAAAAAAAAATAGAATGGGGTCCAACAATCACCCTATTATACTGATAATAAGTCTTTTTTTGTGAGGGATAACTCATAATAAGTCATTTAATATAAAATAAAACGGAACTTTCTTTAGTACGTCAACATACATGTATGTCAGGTTTTTTGTCTGTTAAATCTGTATAAAATCACGTAAAAGTAAAAAATACGCAGATCTAACGGTTAAAAAAACTTAACTTACCGGTACGCCGGCGTACCAAAGAATCTTCCAAAACGTTAATATCTCAGTCCTCGTAAACACAATTGAAGAACTTAACTTCCACAAACCTAATCTCTTAAAAATAAAAAATAAAAATTAGCTGATCATCTAAAGACTACCTATATGTCGCATTTCTAATTATGGATATTCTTCGGCACTCTAACATACCGGTAAGTCAAATTTATGTTGGTTAAATTTGTATAAAATCATGTAAAACTTAAAAAATATATAAATCTAACAGTTAGAAAAATATAACCTACCGATAGACTAGACATATGAAAGAATCACTCTTCTAATTATATTGGCACAAAATTAAAGAGTAGTCTATACACCAATCCGTAATTTCACTCTGTTTTCATGCACGGGAAAAAGTTTTTAATGATTCATGTACTGTGAGTATATAACAATCATTAATAATAAAAGAGCAGGCTATCCCATGTATTTATAAACTTAAGGCAATGTTTTATCTCTTTTTTTTTTTTTTTCAAATCCTCACAGTACTTGAGTCCATATTAATTTACCACTCACTCTTAATTAATACACTTTTAATTAATTAAAAAATAGTATTAATTAAAAGTATTCAGTCTCGTAGAGATATTTGTTTTTTTTTTTTTAAGCATCTTTTGGTCAATTGAATTTGTGGCGCTGATCTCTGCCGTCAGTTAATCTAATCCCAAATTCAAATTTATTTCACGTCAAATATAGTACAACCGACTTTTATGTTTGTGTAAGAAATGTATTAGTTGTCTATTAACAGCACAAAAAGAGACAAATAAAGAGCCTGGACACAACTTTCAGTTCATTATAAGCAAATTGGTCAGGTCCAAGTTCTAACTGAGATTTGATTGTGATTATAATTGATGACCTCTAATACATGCTTCAAGTGGGACATGGTAAACTAAACAGCTAAATCAAGATCGCGTATAATAAGATCAAATTCAATGTTTTAATATTATTATTTTCGGTCTTTCTCTAGTTGTCACTACCCACTACCTGAATCTTTGTCTCCTCAAGCGATTTCAGTCACTAATTTGGCTATTGATTAGGAAGTAGTCCATTTTAATAAATACCCCCATCATCGATCTGTCTTTTAATTATTTCAAGAGAAAGACATACTTCCAAATGATTCTAATTTGAAACGAGTAATTCGAATTGAGATGTGACTTTATGTGAGAGTTTTTGACTGTAGTAAAAAAATTAAACGTGACTATTTTTAAAAAAATTTTATTGTAACAAAACTTGAATCGGTAAAATAAACGTGGCCCTATGTTTGGTAGGAAAGAAAAGTAGAAGGAAGGAAGAAGATGAAGGGATTTTGGGAGGGAAAATGAAAATGTAAGTTGTTTGGTAGGAGAGAAAAGAGACAGGAAGAGAAAATAGAGTGAAAAATAATACACGTGGGCCCCACCATTTACAAGTGGGCAGAAAATGGGATGAAAAATGAGGACAACTCATTAAAGTGAGTAAAGTTACTAAACTACCATTTCCTCCATCAACATCCAAGCAAAAAATTTAAGGGTATAAAAGTAATTTATGAGTAATATTTTTTCTTTCATCCCAATTTAACTTCCAATACCAAACAAGTGAAGGTAAGCTCATTTTCTTTCCATATTCTCATACCAAACAACATAAAAGAAAATCAATTTCCTTTTCATCATTGTTATTTTTCATTACTTCCGTATTTCCTTTCTATCCTATTTTCTTTTCTTCCTACCAAACATAGCATAAATTGTTCTAACTTGGCATATATGTATATGTGCGTATATGTGTATATATAGGCCCTATTTCACGCTGTACAAGCTACAATGGTTAAAAGAAAAACCATGCTTTTGTGGGTACCTTTGATCTATATATAAAGACAAAAGCAGTCACAGTTCATGTTATGGGGATATCAAACACTAATGTTTAATGATTTGGATTCCAGACTGTGAAACCATATCTTAAAGATGTGATCGATCGAGTACTAGTCTGTATCGTCCACTCACCGTTTCTTTTTGTTACCCCTTTTTTCTTCTTTATTTTTAATCACATTATTGTGATGCATTTTATTTAAGTTGTAGATGTAGCGTGGTAATATGAGATTTTTACATTGCAGGAATATCATCCTTTCAAAATTTGTTCTTCTGTTAAGTTGTGGAGAGAATTCATTATAAAAGATCGGACGTCTGTATAGGCACAGAAAATTGATAAATGTGTAATTTTTTCTTATAAATTTTTTCTTCAATATAGTGAATTACTGCGACGGCTGAAAGATGATCACTTAGTAATCTTACATCGAAACAAATCTCTATAAATTTATGAATTCGTTTTTTACTTTAATTATTTTCGCGATTTTATTGCTCTCAATAATATAGAATTAGTGCGTCTAATTCTTAGTTTCTTACCCTGATCTTCTCCGTATATTGGAACGTTAAGTTAATATTCTTCCTTAAAATAAATGATGTCATATGTTTGTAAGTGGCAAGAACGCTTTATTGTTTTTGTTAATCACTCAAAGCATGATAAAGAGAATAAAAACGATACTCAATTGGGAAGAAGAACGCGTTGAAGTGATTTGCACCCATGGAATCAGTTCTTTAAAGTGCGAATGTCGAGCATATTGAACAGCCTCAGATGATTCTCTAGGGAAATAATTGCTTATTGATTATACAATTGATTAATTAAGTAGCAATAATGTAAAACACTTATGTAGACTTTATCATGTCCCATTTTTGTAACTCCATATATTATATACAACTACTGTTTTGATCGACATACTTGATTATTAACAACCGAAATAATTGAGTGAAAATTATTAATTAAAGCCCAAATTTCAAGTTTGGTTTGGGAAGAAGCATCCGACAAGCAAGAAATGTTTCGAGAAAGCTATCCTTAAGATTGTCTTTTTTACAAGTTTTGGAAAACAGGAAACCACTAATTAAATTACAACTGTTTGTTTAGACTCGCAGGCAA